GGTGCTAACATCCACTTTGAGACCGATATTTGCAAACCTGTCAAAAATCAGAAATTTGGGCGATGTTTCTGATACTCTCAGGATCTTTAGCACCAAACACGTTGTAAATCTGGTGAAGATTTCAAGTCGCTACTTGCATTAGTTTGAAAGATGTGAATTTTTAAATGCCACACCGCAGTTGACTGAAGACGTGAAATTTGAGACCCACATTTTCTAAGCTTTCAAAAATTAACGTTTGGTGCTATTTTTGTGAAATTTGCAGCATATTTAGGATCATGTTTGGGCTAAAGATGGTAAAATTTACAAGTCTCTGCTCGCTTTAGTTTAGCAGATGCGTATTCTTAAAGGAGAAAGCACAGTGTGGTGCTAACATCCACTTTGAGACCGATATTTGCAAACCTGTCAAAAATCAGAAATTTGGGCGATGTTTCTGATACACTCAGCATCTTTAGCACCAAGCATTGTTATAAATCTGGTGATAATTTCAAGTCGCTACTTGCATTAGTTTGAAAGATGTGAATTTTTAAATGCGAAACCGAAGTTGACTGAAGACGTGAAATTTGAGACCCACATTTTCTAAGCTTTCAAAAATTAACGTTCGGTGCGATTTTTATGAAATTTGCAGCATATTTAGGATCATGTTTGGGCTAAAGATGGTCAAATTTACAAGTCTCTGCTCGCTTTAGTTTAGTAGATGTGTATTTTTAAAGGAGAAAGCACAGTGGGGTGCTAACATCCACTTTGAGACCGATATTTGCAAACCTGTCAAAAATCAGAAATTTTGACGATGTTTCTGATACTCTCAGGATCTTTAGCACCAAGCAAGTTGTAAATCTGGTGATAATTTCAAGTCGCTATTTGCATTAGTTTGAAAGTTGTGAATTTTTAAATGCGAAACCGCAGTTGACTGAAGACGTGAAATTTGAGACCCACATTTTCTAAGCTTTCAAAAATTAACGTTTGGTGCGATTTTTATGAAATTTGCAGCATATTTAGGATCATGTTTGGGCTAAAGATGGTCCAATTTACAAGTCTCTGCTCGCTTTAGTTTAGCAGATGTGTATTTTTAAAGGAGAAAGCACAGTGGGGTGCTAACATCCACTTTGAGACCGATATT